TGAGAGGACACACTGTACCATTCAACTGCAAGGCAGGGGATTAAAAACAAAAGATCCGAATAAAGGTTACCTCGGCGGCAGGTAGGTGAGGTTACTGCCTGGGAAGGAAGATGAGGCAACCACGGAGGGATGTGGGAATCTACATGTAGGTAGCAATTACCTGGGTGTACCCACATCTCAAAGCATGTAGAGCTCACATTTAAAATTAGTCTTCATTATACATCTGTGCAATACATACGACACTTGAAGTTTGCCTCTTAATAACAAAGTCCCTTGCTGTTCAAATTATCATTGATATTTGCCTGAAAGCGTGGTAGGCGACAATCTCGAGAGAGGAACCGTGACCCCTAATTATGAAGTCCTAAACCTTCCAGACCCATCTCAAAGGGTCCCTACGCTGTGTAATCCTGTCCCTCTGTGTGACTTTGCCGTGTGTTCCTTTACAATAACTGATCTCCAGACTGGAAGCTGGTCCTGCAAGAAGGATTTGGAATTGGCTGCATCAAATAGCTTTGTCTAGTACATGCTCATTAAAATGTCTCGTGATTGCCCAAGGCACACCAGACCTGACAGCCCCAACCTGATACCAGCTCAGCAAAAGGTATGACTGCCCATCCCAGACCAGATCCTGGTTCTTCTCAGCACAGCGACTCCAACCCTCCTGCCACGACACAAATCACAGTGGCTAACTAAACAGCCGCAGAGTCCAGAGCCCAGAGTACCCAATGCCCACTCCCTGAGGCGCCTGCTGGCTCCTTTTCAGGTCACCTCTGCAGCCCCGCACTGTCCTTGCCAAACCTCAGCTGGAGAGGGCCACGTGAGCACCCAGGAAACATTCTCTCAGGTGTAATGTTTAATCTAGACTCTTCCCCACCCCCAGCAGGGGCTCCCTGCCCTGTTAGCAAAGGGACACCCACAATACTCCTGCCCCCACCACTGTCCAGACCTCCCAGCTGGATTCTTGCAGTTTCAACCTTGAACTCTCTACACACCCCAAGCCAGTAGGGGAAGTGGCTAAACCAACCTCACCTGTGCATAGGCCCCAGTGCGTGAAAAGGCCGGAAGTGGACATATGTCTAGTTCTTCAAAGCCCCGTAGGAGAGAGGGGGCTGGAATCACACTTCTGCCCCCATGGAGCTTGAGAGCAATGACCTTTTGGGAGTTGAAGGGGTGGATTTCTTTTCTTTAGGTGTGTGTGTGTGTGTGTGTGTGTTTGCTAAGATTCCACACCCAATACTTTTTTTTTGAAAGATACTTCATATTCATAGCTGACAGAACCACAGAGCCTATGTCTGACACACGGGCCACCAGGAGTTTTTCCATCTTGTCAACAGCCTCAGGCAAGGGTTTTGGTCCCAACTCCAGCCCAGACTGTGGATTGGGTGGGCAAGGTCTCCTGATCCTCAGTTCACTGGGATCCACAGCGTGCCCCCACCACCCAGAGGCCCTAGGGACGAACTACGCCCCTCACTCCAGGTCCCCAGCCTCACAGGTACTTCAGAAAGTGCGAGCTAAGTCTGACACAGGCACACACCAGTGGCACTTTCTCCTGGCCCTAACCTGGGCCACCGCCCCTGAGAGTCCACGTACAAACTTCTCTGAACTACCAGAGGCGGGAGGAGGGGGGTGAGGGTCCCCTACAGGGAATGGGGTGCACACGTGCGCGTGCACACACACGCGTGCACACACACACGCCCACGCACCGCCCCACCCCCTGAGCTCTGCAAGCCCGGCCCAGGCCAGCGACACCCGGCTCCGGGGCGTGCGAAGAAGGCGGCGGGGCCCACGTTTGGTGGAGGGGGAGGCCGGGGCCGCGGTACCTTGCAGGTTCTGCACACGGATGTCGCTGATCTGGCCGATGAGCTCCTCGCGCTGGAACCAGTCCCACTCCTGAGCAGCCATGGAGCGCGCGCGGCGGGCCGGGGCGGCGGGCGGCGGGCAGCGGGCGCGGGCAGTGAGCGCTGGGCCGGTGGGCGGGCGAAGGGCCGGCCCCGCCGCGGGCGGACGGGCTGGCGGGCGGGCGCGGGCGGCGGAGCGGGGCGCCCGGCGCGCGCTCACTGCCCGGCGGGGGCGGGGGCCCCGGGCGGGAGGGAAGAGGGCGGGGCGGGGCGGGAGGAGCCGGCCTCGGGACAGTCCTTTTTTTTTCTTTTTTTTCCTCCCCCACCCCCAGGGTGGATATTGGTTGGATTGTTTGATCGCCAACGCACAATGATGAAGCGCGGGGGTCGCAGCCCCCAGATTGTGATGTCTTGGGGTGCGGTGGGCCTAGTGACGCGAGCCAGGGTGCTCCAGGAACTGGTCCAGGATGTCTGCCCCTTCCCCATCCTACCCCTCTGAGACCCTTCCAGTCGCTGTGGGAACCCATCCTATGCCTGGAGCACCTTCCTGCTAAAGGCAAACAAGCCCTGTCCATCCGTGATCCCCGAGGACCATGGAAAGTGAGTGATGGGCGAAGCAGTGTGGAGATGGAGTTTCCATAGAGGTGGGAGTGTGTGTGTGTGTTTGTGTGTGTGTGTTTGTGTGTGTGTGTGTGATTTAGATTAGAGGCCACTTCCGGTTCTGCCCAGCTGTTGGGAGAAACAGCCACCCGCCCAAGAATGGGTACCTTTGGAGTCCTGGCCAAAAGAAAGGTAGGGATTTAGTGAAACCTCAAGGGCCGGCTGGGGCCCTAGTTTAGATGGCCCTCCACTTGCATGCCAGAGGCTTTGATCCTGTGCACAACATAAACCTGGCATTTGCACACACATGTAATCCCAGCACACTGGAGGGGGAGGCAGGAGGAGAAGTTCAAGGTCATTCACAGCTACCTGGGTGTGTTCAAGGCCATCCTGGGATACCTGAGACAAATACAGTCCTTTGTGGTTCCCCTTTGGGCCCCCGCGTCTTTTAACCCGAGAACTCTGGATCTTATCTTGTTTGGGGCTCCACCAGGCCTGTGTATGTGTAGCCAGGACTCCTTTATTGGTTAGCCAGTAGAAAATCTGGGAGTTTGTCTAAGGTGAGGGATGATTTAGGGGTACCAAGTCCCGGTGTCTTCCTCCCTGTTCAGCTACTTCACCTTTCTGGACATCTAAAGCCATCCAGAAAATGGAAAGTGTCCTTTATATGATGAATGCCAGGAGAAAGAAGAGAGGCAAAGCTCTCTGAGCATTTGAACACAGCTAACCCTGCTAGCCATTGCCACGTCACCTATGAGCAAGCAAAGATGGAGGGCCCAGGCTCGGGTCTCCTGGGGAGAGCAGGCCCTGAAGGGGAATGAGAAACCTTCAAGTCATCTATGTTTAACCCAATAACCAACTGAGATGAGAATTACAGAGCTCCAGAAAGGAGGAAGTCTGTTTGGAGCGAGAAGCCAGTGTGAAGGGCAGCTCACCAAGGGTCCCCAAAACCTGACCGTGCAGGTATCAACCCAGCAGTGTAGACTCAGTGGAGATCGTGGCTGCCTGAGGCTCTGGTTGTCCCTCCTTGTCCCTGTTTTGATTTGTAACCGTGTGGTCACTTCACACGTGTGTCAGCCTCCTATAGAACCAGGAGCGTGTTAACAGGCGTTGTTCACACTAGCCCCATCAAGCCAGCACACTCAAATTCCTTTTCTCTAATCGCTGGAGGCTGACGTTGGGCTGAAAATCACTTCCTTCACAAAAGCCAAGTACTGAGAATGTCAGCTTGGCTCCATCATGAGATGAGTAGCCAAGAACTTGACTTGAAACAGTGTGGTCGAATGTGATCCACAAGGACCAGTCATCTGTCATGAACTATGATGCCTATTCTTGGGAATAAAGGGGAGGGGCCTAACTCACCGCTGACTGAACAAAAACTGCAAATCAGGTGTTTCTTTGGATGAAAATGGAAGAAATTTGAGGTGGTTTTTCAAGTGGCCTGGGAGTCAGAACTGTGACGCTGGCCCCTAGCAGACCCTGGACAGTCGCTGAATGAACAGGACCCCTGCAGGATCTCTGAGGTCTTTGGGAGCACACAGGTCTCTCTGATCTGTCCTTGTGCAATACGATCCCTTGTCAACCATACTTCTCCACTCTGATCTAATGCTGAGTTGCTGCAGCTTCGGCCCCTCCCAGAGCTTGGGGGAATACTCATTCCGCCAGTAGCTTTGGGATGCCGACTTTAGGGCATGACTTTTGTCTGTGGATGTGATCTCTTAAAAGGGGAGAGACAGAGGCCACATGCTTCTTCTCGCCATGATTATACTTTGTCCTATATCCATGAGTCTGTTAGTCTGTTTTCCCCATAGCATCCCTTAATAAATTGATATATATATGGATATAGATACCACATGCATACATACATATATCTTTGTGGTTCTCGTAACACACAAGACCCTGGATGTCAACCCCAGTAGCACTAAATAAGGTCCCTCCAAATCTCTAGCTTCCTAATTCCTGGGAGGTCTCTCCTTGTCACTCATTCCCACCATGATGTCATCACCACAGTGAGATGGCATTCAGGGCCTCGTCACAGCCACCACCATGCTAAATGTACTTTAAGCCTTCAAAACTGATGAAAACAAACCTCTCCTACTTATTAGCTGTAGGAACAGGAAACAGACTGATAAACATGATCACCTAGTATTTGCCTAACTCGTTCCCTTTTAAGCCACTCCTGGCTTTCCGGGCTCCCAGCTTATGCCCCCTTAATCACATTCACCTCCAGAGAGCTCATTTCTCCTCTCCAGCATGAAGCATGGTGCCTGGCACAGAGGAGGGTCTCCAGTGCATGAACGGAGGGCCCTTATTGTAGGCCTGAACTTGGAAAGTAGAGAGACTGGTATGACCAACGACTGACCCTCATGACCAGGCCCGAGCAAACTCTGAGGAGCACATGCTGTGGAGAAGTAGGCACAAGTGCCAAGATGGGGGATGTCTTCCTCAGGCATGTCCAGCTTTGTGGAGGACGTGAACTTACAGGGAAAACTGGGCATTTGGCCTCTCACATGACTGGATAGCACTCTTTCTTTTTTAGGTTTTTTGGGGAAGAAAACGTACCCTGCCGACAGACTTGGCTTCCTGGGAGTTTCCAACAGCTGATTTTTCTAGATGTTTCCCACTTCTCCCGGAATCTTGGTGGTTGTTTAGAACTGACTTCTCCCAAAGGAGGGAGGATTGCAGAGTTGATGTGCTGAACTTGGGGCAGCACCAAATCCAGCCTCCTCCCCTGGCCGCCATCAAAGATTGCCAGCAGCCCTGGCCCAGTGACCGTCCTGCCCACTGCCAGGGACTGCTGAATCCAGGCAGAGAGTTCAGATGCAGGTTCCATCGCTGTGCCCCAGCCTCCAGGGCTGGTGTATGAATTCCAGAAGAATAAGATAGCCCCGTTGTCCCTGTGCAGACCCGCCGAGAGGGGGGGGGGAGGGGGCCTGACTGGAGGGCAGCTGCCCTCTCTGGAAGCAGCCATTGTCCTATGTTAGCTTGGCTGTGACAAAATAACCAAGAGAAGCGTGGTCAGAAGGGTTTATCTGGCTGTTGGCTCTGAGCTTTAGAATGTCACGCTTTAGAAGGGTGTGGTAGAAGTAAGCTATTCTCGTGATGGCATTTGGGAACTGGAGGGACAGCCAGGAAGGAATTGTAGACAAGGTGTATCTTTCTAGGTCACACCCTTGGTGACCCTCTTTCTTCATCAGGCCTTACTTCTGGGTTCCCACCACCTCCCAATGAGGTCATCATACTATGAATCCATCAAGGGATCAATCGATTGAGTAGATCAGAGCCCTCAGGATCCAATTGGATGAGGATCAGAGCCCACTATATTGGGACCTTGCCTTTAATACATGAACCTTTGGTACACTTCTCAACCAAACTGCAATGGCCCCTTGTGTGTAGCGATAGTTTTCTTCCACTTTGGAGGGGGTGCCAGGAGCCATAAAGGTAGCAATCTCTATTAGAAGAGCTTTAAGTCTTCCAGTAGCCTGCCCAAGGGTCTGAACTGAACCCCTTGTCCTGTAGTCCCCACTCCCTACTGACAGCTCCCTCCAGTATGACTGGAGGACTCAGGCCATAGGCCACACTAACACTTGGGGATACAGTACTAGTTATACCTATAGGCAGGTTTTTATAGTTTAAAATTATTACCAAAAGTGTGGTATTCATCAGCATGCTAAAACCTTCAGGAGCCTGGGTAGTAATGCAAGCCTATAATCCCAGAATTCCAGAGACTCAGACAGGAGGGCCAGGAATTTGAGGCCAGCCTTGGATACTTAGCAGAAACCAAACTTAAAAAAATTGAGTGGAACTTTATAAAGTTGTTTTCAAATGGCAAAAATTTCAAAGTTAGTGGATTCCCACTATTTATTGATTATTGTTCAAAAAATATAGGCCAGGGGCCTATATTATGTTGTCACCAGGCTGCACTGTGGGCATAAACACCTCCTGGCCACCTTCATTCAACAGTTCTTAGGTGAGCATCTCCCTGTGACCAGGGCCTGTAGATAGTGTTGCCAGCTCCTAAGTTTGACCTCAACACTGAGGTGGGAGCCTTTGACACTCGAAACGGGGCTCTTACCGCCCCTGGAGTCATGCTGTGGAAGATGGGCAAGTGTTAGGAGGCTCCAGCAGATGACCTAGCCGGTGGGTGTGGGTGATTGGCAGCCTAATCAAGCAAGGAAATAGATTCCTGAGCTATTTAGAAGATTTGGCAGTGCCAGGTGCCTGCTTAAGGAATCTTGTAGCACCGTCCATATGCCTGTGCTTCTAGCGTTCTGTCTGTCACGCCCACCATGGTAGCCAGCTTTCTGCGTCTCTACCAAATACTGGAGCGAATGAGCTTTTGAAGATAAAAGGTTGGTGGTCTGGAGACAGTTTGGAGGTCTCAGGCTCTGGTTGGCCCTGCTGCTTCAGGCAAAGCCATGGGTCATGGCAGATGTGCAGAGCAGATCAAAACCAGTCACTGCACGAGCAGGAAGTGAAGGAAAGAAAGCAGCTGGAGCCCCTAGCTCTTTCAAAGGTGGGCTCTTAATGACCTAAATACTCCTCACTAGCCCTGCCTTAAAGATGCCACATCCTCCCGGTGGTGCTATGGCAGGGACTACACCCTTACCCCCAAGACCTCTGGGGAACACTGAGCTCCAAACTGCAGCACCCACTTTACTCCAAACTCCCGAAAAAAAAAATGCCATAAAAAATTGGGGTAGTTTATCAGACCTTAACAGACTGATACTCAATGCTCAGAAAAACATAAGTCGCGTGCACACACAAACAAATGGTGTTTAAGCTTTGTCCTGATCCTTACAGAGCCCAGGAGCCTAAGGCAAGTTGAGTCCTCTTCCATGCTAGATGCCAGTGCTTCCCCTCTCTGTCTCTCCAGAATTCCACACGACTCCAAGACTGTCTGGAGAGAGGTGCTAAGACAGAGTCCAGGAGCAAGCGACAGGACAGAGGACATGGGGTGTGTAACAACAGAAATGGGTTTTCTCTTGCCCTGGCTCCTTGCTGGCTGTGCAACCCCAAGCAACTCATTAACCTCTCTTGACTTCTGTCCTCTTGACCATGAATTGAGGTTCACAACCTCCGTCCACTGGATGGTATGAGCTCAGGAATGTTTGCTGCTGAAGGAGTCTTCAGTGAGACCTAGGACATTTCAACAGCTCAAAGCAAACAACATCTAGAAGATAAAAATGCCCCCCTGGCTTTAGGAGATCGCCTATAACACACAAGATTAATGTATTACCTAAGATTTTATTAATTTTTGGGGGTATGCAGAGGTGTTGTGGGTGGTTTTTTTTTTTTTTTAAAAAAAAACTTTGTTTCCCTAGGTAGATGGTACCGGATGTCCCAATTTCCACAAATAAAACCCTTCATTTCTCCTGGTTTTGAATAGTCAAAGGCTGCTTCCCTGGAGACAGGGTGGCTAATTTTTTTTTTGTAGACATAAAAACTCTATTTAAGGAGCGTGCATTTTCCAGAGAAGCTAATGATAACCCTCACCACCATGTAATATGGAGAGAGGGTGCTTTCTCTGTACAGAGAGAACACCATTCCGGCCAGATGTTTACAGCAACACAGCAGAGAAATTTCTTTTCAGCATTGGGCAATCAAATTTCTCTTGCAGAGAATCCCAGGAAAGATGTTTAAAAGTCAGAGTCAGTATGCATAACCTACCCCCTGGTCTTGCCCCTGGAGCTGGCATTCTCTGTACTGGAGAAGCCATTTCTAGTTTTATTGCATGTCTATTGTCTTCCTGTGCAGCTGGCATTTAGGACTTACTGCTGCCAAGGACCCAGTCAAGTGCTTTTATGACCTCATTCACTCTCCCCAGCAACTCCTCTGGGGAGGCACTATTATTGTCTTGATTTCAGAGATGAGGAAACTAAGGGTCAAAAAGTTTAGCAGTGTCCCCAAAGACACTGAAGTACTTTAACCAGGAAGAGATTCAAGCCTAGATTTGTGTGTAGAAGACGCCAGCCTGATCTTTGTGTTTCCTGTCCTGTCTATGGTGGCTTTGAACTGGGCAGGCTCCCACATGGGGCTGGTTAAGGCAGGGCCCCTGTCTAGGGAGCATTTTTACTCGTTTCTGGCCTTAGTTCAACAAGACGATCAACAAGCTCACCTCCAGATCAGGAACAAAAGGGATCTGCCTAGGTCCTAGGTCCAAGGGGGATCCCCACATCTGATGCTGGAGGGTCCTAGATAGCCTCATGTCTATGTTCAGAAACCTTAGAGAGGCCTTTGTAGAAGGTGAATTTGTGTGTGACCTAATGAAGGGATACTGCCTGCATTCTAGTGAGTGCATTATTGCCAGTTTTTTCCTGTTGGGAGCATCCACACCTTCTAAGCCTGCTGTGGCATCACTGGGTGCTAGATTCCTAAGGGACCACCAGCGGGCATGGAGTTCATTGTTAACCAACAGGTTCTGTGGAGTGTGACTCAGTCTGTTCCTTGCTGTGTAAATGGATTTGCATGTAGATTCCTCAGGGGGAGAGGAAGAAGCCTTAAGTCGGTAGCAAGCTCCACCCACTTGCTGACGATTTGTCACCCTGCACCCTCCCCCCCCATTATCTGTCCTACCACCCCTCAGCTTTTCCTCCCCCGCTCTTCCCCCTGTTCCTTGGACCTGGGTTGGATTCCATGGCTTGCTTGAGAAAGGGAACATGGCAGCTGTGATGCCCACCTGAGACTGGTCGTAAGCAACCCCGTAGCTCCCGCCTGGACTCTGTGAACGCCCCTTGGATGAGGGTACTGCCCTTTATTCATTCATCAGCACAAGCCTGCATACTGGAGGAAATGCAGGCACGTCCCATGATGCAGGATGAGCAGGAGAAAGCCCTGCCCCACCACCCAGCAGCTAGAGCAACTGAGTTAGCAGACAGACGACACAGGAGCTTCGTTCCGGAGCCCACGTCCAACCCAACTGAGCTGTGGAGGGTTCCAGCCCCAGCTGTCACCGAATTACACCAGAGATGTCCAACATCACAGAAGAAAATGTGTGGATGCTTTAGAGTGCTAGATAGCCTTGCAAAGAACTAGAAAGCCGGAACCTAGCCCCGCCCTCTGTCTCCAGGGTCCTCAGTTCCAGTGGCTGATACACCCCGCCCCCACTCCCTTCACCACTGCCTGCATGTGTCATTTTCCCCTGAAGGCCTCCAACCTCTTCCTCATCAAGTTATCTTAAGTCACCATTAGAGACAATTGCTTCTAATCCTTGGTGTGTCCACAGTCCCTACCACACACACACACACCACACACACACAGACACACAGTCCCTACCACACACCACACACACACACACACACACACACACACACACACACAGCCCTCCCCTCCTTCACCCACCCCATTCTCCCAGGCTATCTGCTCCTATTAGTTCCTCCAAAATGCTGCTTATATGCAACCTCTTCAAAGGCCCCCTCAAAGTCTGAGGCTCCCCCATTTGAGAGGGCTGGGAATGTAGTTTGCTGTGGAGTGCTTGCCTAACAGGCATGGAGCTCTGGGCTCTAGCCCTAGCAGCCACATAAGCTGCCATGGTGGCGCGTGCTTCTAATCTCATCACGTGAGAGTGGAGACGGGAAGACCAGAAGTTAAGGTTATCCTCAACTACGTAGGGAGTTTGAGGCTAGCCTGGGCTGCATGAGACTCTGCCTGGGGTTAGGGGGCTGGCCAAAAGATGTGAAATGTGTTTGAGTGGTCATCACATTGTCCTCTATAGCCTGAGTGAGTACCTTGACTCCCATTAGGAAGAGAATAGACACATCACAGAACCATGTTTATCAAGGAGACAGGAAGACACGGGTCAGTCTTAAAACCACACCATGAAGCCAAAGAATCCAGACACCAAAAATG